TAACTGAAATAGCTGTTGCTAGGTGAACAATTGTGTCATATTGTCACTCATCTACTGTAGTTACAAATTCGGCTGCTTTTTTTGAAAGAAAATTGGTCACTACTTTCCAAAAGACTTCAAATTTTCCTGGTCTTCCAGGATTGTGTTCACACAAATCAATTGTAACTTCTGTATTACCTAACTCAAGAGCCAGCCTAACTTGTTCATCTATTTTTGCTTTATTAGCAGATTTAGATGCAAAAGAATCACCAGTTAATATATGATAAATTGTGCAAAACGCTGCAGGTTTAACTTTTAGTAAAAGTAAGTTACATGTACACAAATAGTTTGCTCTCATTGCGCGAGTGTGGTATTGAAGAGAACTGGCTTGAAGTTTGTTGACTATACTTGTATTTTGTTGCATCATTGTAGTCTTATTAGCATCATCATCAATCTTCCAAATAGAAATCGCATTATATGTGTTATTGTCAAAGTTAAACCAAAATTCGCCAAGTTTAAAGGTAAATGCTTTAGATAATCCTTGTATATACCACATTCTAGGGCTACAAATAAAAGATTATGAGATTAATTAATAGAGGTTATTATAGTAAAACCTTTATAAATATATGCATTTAGAATCAAATTTTAACAATTTGCACTTAGAGGGCAATAAGAAAAAGTGCATTGTAGAAGTTATGTATATCAGATTGGTGAAAAGTAACTAAACAGTGACCTATTTTACTATCTTCGCTAATATTGAACTTCTATAATTATTTATTATACTACATAATGGTATAAACGTTAAGTAATAATTAATAGTTTAAAAAAAAGTCACTGTTCAATTACTTTTCACCAACCTGGTATATTTGGGTTAAATTTCGAGTGTGTATTTAAGAGGGTATGCATTTATATAGGGTGCTCTTATGAAGGTTTTACTTATACAGGATCTGTTGGTAAATATTTTCAATATTAATAAGTATCCACTAAGGTAAATCTTTGAGTGGGTTTTCTAATTGATGGTATTTGGTTTTATTATTTGCCATTATTTGAGTATTATTTTGGTGAATTTTAATTGTTATGGCTTGGTCTATGCTTTGTACTAAAATTGTTGATACATGATTTTTCATAGTTATTTTATTTTGTTAATATAAAAAGCTAATATAATTTAAAATAGTAGTGATTAAGCACTCATAGGGTTCATGGAGCCAAGCAAATGATGGTTTTAATATCCACTATGTTGTTGTATGTGTTGCAAGAGCTTGATAATGAAGATTTAACTCTGTTACATCAAAAGGTTTCTGAGACTCCTTATATGACTCTAGATTGGCATGGTCAAAAAACTCTAAGAATAATTCTGGAATATGATAACTGTGTTCTTTGAGTTTTAAGTGATTATGTATATCTATATACCAAATAGCTTCACATAAACAACTGACAAAATTTTTTTCTTGTATATTAGCATCCTTAGCCGAAGATCACCCTCTGCCATTTTGTTGAATCTATTTGATTATATCATTATATAATGTTTGTTTTCTATTTAATTGTTTAAATTTTAAGGAACTTGATAAATGTTTTTGCCTTTTTTGAAATTGCATTAAAATTTCTAATGCATTTTGGTGTGGTATTGAATGAGAAGTTACAATATCATTGGGTTTAAGATGGTAGTGTATATTTATACCAAATGTCTTGATTGATTCTATTATTTTACAATGAGGACTAGCTTGAATAGCTGTTCTACCCAATATTTGGCTTAATTCAATACGTTCAATTATTTCAAAAGAGCTTATTGAAATATCGCATTCTGGTGATATTTTATCTATAACAAGTTTATCAAAGAATTCTTTAATGGATATTTTATATGGGATGGGATAAATATACTAATCATGAAGAGTTTTTGACCCTTTCAAAATATGTACATTTGTGACTAGCATATTTTTTATAGCTCAGGTAAATTTTTACAAGAGTTTATTGACAACTTTGGATCTTTAAACTGACTATTTATTGATTTATTATTTTTTTTTTTGCAATTAATTATGCGATTTATTTTTACATTGTAATTTATAATTAAATAACATACAAGAAAATGCGAAATCTCGATATATGAGTATTGTTTATTGATTTTAATAAGTACTACAAATCTAGCTTCATTTATCTCTCTTTTTTTTTTTTTGGGTTTATTATTATACTCATTTGAAGTTCTATTGTAATTAAATTCATTGTTCAGACCTTATAAAAATCGTGAATTATAGGCTAGCTTAATTCAGAGTAATAATTTTCTAATCCAATTTATCATATATAAACTTTAAATAAGAAATCGC